TTTTTTGGCTGCGTCACCAAAGCTGATGATACATGGAGGTATTACATTCCTTTTGGCTTGTCAGTCGGTCCCGCATTTCTTTACTGCAATACCTTCAGGATTTTAACCAAACTTTTAATGGAGTATGTATGAGCATGCGAGGATGAACTGATAAGATTTTGGGTAAAAGAGGTTACATTTTACAGGTCACAGCGTCATGAAAGTGTTTAAATATTTCATTACCGCGGTAACTTGGAAAGAATTCAAGCAATACAAATCAAACTTGGATGAAGTATGTATGAGCAGATTAAGATGAGGTGATTATATTACGTTTGTAAGAGAGAACAGGTTAAAGCTAAGAAATAGATAGGAAGTCATGAATCTTTTTCTTTTAACCCTCAAAATGCTAGAACATTTCGTGTGTCAGCGTTAACTTAAAAGCATTGAAGCTAAACTTGTAAGAAGTATGTATGGACTGTTTAGATCTCGGGTGTAAGAGGTCATGAATGTGGATTATCATGAGATCATAGGATCTTGAAAGTTGTTGAAATCCCCCCAGATACTCATTACTGTGATGATTAAACTGAATTATCAAAATTCACCCCATAGTTCTTGTCATTTCAATATCAATGATGCATACATGTAATAATGTGTATGCTACATGTACATGGCTGCTGCCAATTGATTTTCTATCCCTACAGATCCAAACGGTCAACCTGGATTTATGTAGGTATAATGCCAGGCAAGGTGGATTACTAAGTCAGTCAGCTTCCAAGCAGCTTGCCAAGTTTCTCTGCTCTCTACCCTGCCTTACAACCTTAGAGATCAAAGAAAATGAATATTTACCTGATGATTTCTTCACTGAACTAGCTTCCTTGGCTGCATCCTCACAGGTAACAAGAAAAGTCAGTGCTTAGGCAGTAGAAACATGCATGGATGTAGAAGCACCTTTGCTGCTCTTCATCAATTTTCACACAGTAGTATAACCAGCAAAGTAAACAAAATGTGTGCAGGAGTTTTGAAAGCCAGACTCGTCCATTTATAACCAGGATGAAATCGGGCAAGAAATAAAGGAGAAGAATCATCGGAGGTTATGAATCAATTAAAAAATATATATATTGAGTAACTATTACTCAGGAATCATAGAATTGTATATGAAATACATTAGCATGAGAACTTAGCATACTCTATGAATTAAATATTGTGTACATAAAAATGTGAATTCCCCAAATAATCCTATCCTTTTTTCAATTTTAACTAGACTATGAGTCTGTTCAGTTTATCGAATCAATGTTTTTATCACGTGGCGTGAGCTATAGCTTGGAGAGTAGAGGGTGAGATATAGAGAGAGAAGAGTGACATTTTTTGTTGGCAACCTATTACATTGATGAATAGTGTTGGTAAAAAAGAAGCAGAACAAAATAAAGTTGAGGTAATTGCCTTTTTCGTTTTTTTTTTGGCTGCGTCACCAAAGCTGATGATACATGGAGGTATTACATTCCTTTTGGCTTGTCAGTCGGTCCCGCATTTCTTTACTGCAATACCTTCAGGATTTTAACCAAACTTTTAATGGAGTATGTATGAGCATGCGAGGATGAACTGATAAGATTTTGGGTAAAAGAGGTTACATTTTACAGGTCACAGCGTCATGAAAGTGTTTAAATATTTCATTACCGCGGTAACTTGGAAAGAATTCAAGCAATACAAATCAAACTTGGATGAAGTATGTATGAGCAGATTAAGATGAGGTGATTATATTACGTTTGTAAGAGAGAACAGGTTAAAGCTAAGAAATAGATAGGAAGTCATGAATCTTTTTCTTTTAACCCTCAAAATGCTAGAACATTTCGTGTGTCAGCGTTAACTTAAAAGCATTGAAGCTAAACTTGTAAGAAGTATGTATGGACTGTTTAGATCTCGGGTGTAAGAGGTCATGAATGTGGATTATCATGAGATCATAGGATCTTGAAAGTTGTTGAAATCCCCCCAGATACTTATTACTGTGATGATTAAACTGAATTATCAAAATTCACCCCATAGTTCTTGTCATTTCAATATCAATGATGCATACATGTAATAATGCGTATGCTACATGTACATGGCTGCTGCCAATTGATTTTCTATCCCTACAGATCCAAACGGTCAACCTGGATTTATGTAGGTATAATGCCAGGCAAGGTGGATTACTAAGTCAGTCAGCTTCCAAGCAGCTTGCCAAGTTTCTCTGCTCTCTACCCTGCCTTACAACCTTAGAGATCAAAGAAAATGAATATTTACCTGATGATTTCTTCACTGAACTAAAATCCTTGGCTGCATCCTCACAGGTAATAAGAAAAGTCAGTGCTCAGGCAGTAGAAACATACATGAATGAAGTAGCACTTATGCTGTTCTTCATCAATTTTCACACAGTTGTGTAACTAGCAAAGTAAGGATTTTGTGTAGGAGTTTTGAAAGCCAGACTCGTCCATTTATAGATTTAAAAAACAACCATGACGAAATTGGGCAAAAATAAAGGAGAAGAAAAATTGGGGTTGTGAATCAATACAAAAAATCTATTGAGTAACTACTCTTCAGGAATTATAGAATTAAATATGAATTTACATAAGCATGAGAAATGTATACTTCAAGTATAAAATATTGTGTACATGAATATTTGAACTCCCCAAAATATCCTTTCCTTTTTTTCCAATTTTAACTAGACCTTGAGTCTGTTCAGTTTATCGAATTGGTGGTTTCATCACGTGGCGTGAATAAGCTTGGAGAGTTTAGGGTGAGATAGACAAAGAGAACGAGCGAAATAAAATTTTGTTGGGAACCCAATATTAAAGCCCCAATGCACTACTTATAGCTACTCATGCCCTCTATATAGCAAACAATGCATAATCGGTGCCTGTTGGTCCCCCATGATCCCCCATGATCCCCTTTGTTATGCTTCTGTTACGAAGTAATTATGTTTTCGGGTTGTCCGTCCGTACGTCCCGTTCTCGTGATCACGTTATCTCAAGAACCGATTGGATTCCTGCCAAACTTAGATCATGTATGTATCTTGCAGAGCTTATGAATTGATTAGATTTTGGGGTCACAAGGTCAAAGTCAAAGGTCACAGTGCTCATTATGTATGCAATAATAGTTTGTGATTGCATTATCTCAAGAACTGAGCAATGGATTCCTGCCAAACTTAGCTCATGTATGTATCTTCCAAAGCCAATAAATTGATTAGATTTGGGGGTCACTAAGTTAAAGGTCAAAGGTCACATGGCTCATTATGTATGCATAAATAGGTCGTGATCACATCAATAGAACCGATGGACAGATTATAATCAAACGCAGGACATGTATGTATCTTGCTGAGCCAATGAACTGATTATATTTTGGGGTCATGAGGTCAAAGGTCATGAGACTCATTATATATCCAAAAATAGCTTGTGATCGCATTATGTCAAGAACCGATGGAGGGATTACCATCAAACTTACGTCATGTATGTATATTGCAAAGCTAATAAACAGATACAATTTTAGGGTCATGAGGTCAAAGATAAAAGAGTCATACATGTATATGAAAAATAGCTTGTACTCACGATATTCTGACAACCTGTTAATGGATTACAACTAAACTTGAATTTGAAAAATTGCTTGTGTTTTGGTATGTGAAATGGCTCTATGGCGGAGGCATCATTTTCAACTTCACACAGTCAAAGTTCCATCTAGATCTTATCTTGATTGAGAACTGATTTGATGAGATAACCATGACCTGTCAGTGATCTTGCAGGGAGGTCTAATCCCCCTGGCCAAACTAGTGCAGATGTGCTTTAATGAATAGTGTTTGTAAAAACAAAGTAGAACAAATGAAATCCCAAGGTACATGCCTTTAATTGTTTGGTATGCCTCTGTCACTGAAGGTGATGGATGGAGGCAAACTTTGATAGAGTATGAGCATTCATGGATGAACTGATTTGATTGTGTGTAGAACAAGTGAAATGTTAAAGGTCTCAGACTAAAAAAGATGTTTAAAATACAGATAATATTCCATTACCGTGATGACTTGGACGGTATTAAAGCAATACAAACCAAAATTTAATGAAGTACTATACAAGGATGACTGATTTAATCGTGACAGAGGGGAAACGTCAATAGTCACAAAGTCATCAAAAAAGTTTGAAAGTACAACAAATTTGCAAAAAAATATTGTTTTACCATGTTAACTTGAAAAGGATTGAAGCAATTCAAACCAAACAAAACAAAACAGAAATTCATTTATCTTTTTTTTAATACCAAAAAAAAAAGAAGATACAAATATTTTGTTTCAGTGTTAACTTTTAAAGTATTGAAGCAATTTAAGCTAATCTTGAACAAATATTTATAAGCATACCATGGTGGACTGATTATATTTCGAGTGTAAGAGGTCATGAATGTGAAGGATTATAGGATCTTAACAGTGGAAACAATCCAGAAAATATCTCATAACTGTGATGATTTAACAAAAATCGGACCTAGTATGTAAATCCACTTTAATATTAAACGAAAAGCGTATGAGTTCATGGGGTCAGATGTTACAGGTCACAGGAAAAGTTATCAATGAATGTACATAAGCTGATGCAATCTTATTAATCCTGTGTCATTGAGAGGGGGTGGTTAGCTACACCCTGATGACAGAAAATAATTTCTAAAAAAGTTTGAAACTCCTTCTGTTCAAGAAACCACACAAGTCATAAAATTGTTTTCCTCTTGATTTGTACATCATCGCCCCCTCACAATACAGCTGTTCAATTTGAAGTATCTAATGAATAATAATATCTAATGAATTGTAATGGTATTGTTTATTAGCTCTACATGATCGACATGTACAGCCAAAAAAAAGGTGTTTCTAAGAAAATAAAAGTGTGTTTATAGGGGGAAATGGATGAGGCTGACCGATTCTATACATTCCTAATCCCTTGTCTCCTTTACCCTCCTTTTGCAGGCAATCAAATTTTATTTATTTCCTTTTTTCTCTAAATATCTGTGTGCACTTGTCATGTCAGAATCCTTACTTCAGGGAAAAGGAGCATATCAGCATGCTACAGGAGTGGTCAGTAAGAAAACAACAACGACAGCAACTACAACAACAACAATGGTGGTTAGAACAACGACAACAACAACAACAACAACGGTGGTTAGAAAAACAACGACAACAACAACGGTGGTTAGAACAACAACGACAACAAGAACAACAACAACGGTGGTTAGAACAACAACGACAGCAACAACAACGATGGTGGTTAGAACAACAACGACAACAAGAACAACAACAACGGTGGTTAGAACAACAACGACAACAACAACAACTTCAACAACGATGGAGGTCAGAACAACAACAACAACAATGGTGGTCAGTAAGAAGATATCAACAACAACGACAACTCAACCAGTGTGAAAGGCCAATGCCTAGTACACACCAACAGCCATACCTCCCTAACCATGTTCCCCTGCTGGAATCGGCACATCCTTCTGGACAGTTCCAGAGTGATCCTCACAGAGGCATTCAATCAGAGCCAGAACAAACTGACCAATCCACAATGCATCAGCAACTTTCACCGATAATGTCACTCCAATCTACATTTGCACCAGATCAATCGACCAAGCAACATCTTGAGGAGTTTGAACAGGTTCTACAGTCCTATCTATCTGCACAGCATAACGCCAGTAATGGTCATGCAACTCAATACTCATTAAACTCAAGTTCTCAAGAAACGCTACAACATTCGCCACACCATGGTCTAGGAGAAGCAACACAGGACACCGCTGTAAGCCAGAGACGTGAAGATGCAACCCCAATAGAAATCGAAGACACCACGCTATCGTCATCTTCAGAATACATCAATTCCCGAACTTCGGTGCATCATGGAGGGATGTCAATTGGAATGAAACCATTCTATGAGAATGATGATAGCCTTGCCGTGCTCTCAACCAGTGGATTGAGTTCTGCACAAAGCAGAACTGATGCAGGTATGGAAATCAGGCTCAATACTGGCCCTTATGATCACCATGCAATGACTAATGAAATCATGGTATGACAAGGTCAGATTAAATATATTTTCTTTCATTCACGAAATGGGATGATCATTGTAGAGTTATCGTGGTCTCGTAGGCAAGTCACCAGACTGTGCACCGCACGGATCAATTTTCAAACCCCGCCTCGGCACTAATTTCCTTTTGGCACAAAGCAGAACTGATGCAGGTATGGAAATCAGGCTTAATACTTGTATAGGCCCTTATGATCACCATGCAATGACTAATGAAATCATGGTATGACAAGGTCAGATTAAATATATTTTCTTTCATTCACGAAATGGGATGATCATTGTAGAGTTATCGTGGTCTCGTAGGCAAGTCACCAGACTGTGCACCGCACGGATCAATTTTAAAACCCCGCCTCGGCACTAATTTCCTTTTGGCAAGATAGCATTCTACATTTGCCACTCTCTAGGTGTTAAATTGGTACTTGGTAATTAGAGTTCATAACCCCTTTTGTCTAGTGTGTTAAGATAAAACATTGATTTTGAGTAATGTGTTTTTCTTGCATGATGTAACGTTTAGCTATAAAAACAGATATGTATTCTGTCAAATTATAAGTTAAACAAAAAATATGCTTTAGTTTAACCTGTAACGTTAAATCATAAAAGAAGAGGAATCATTAGATTTTAATATGATTTTATCAACTATTTAAAAATACATACATTCATATCATGGTCATAATTAAATAAAGTATGAGCAATCCCCCAAAGAAAATGATACGGTATAAGAGAGTCTACATACATGTACAAATAACATTGTTGCTTCTATTGCATATGCATATTGTAAATACTTGTACTCGCATATAAGATTGTTAAGTTCTTTCCAAATACAAGATTTGTTATGAATTTTTCAAAGCTTTACTATAATTCAATTTTATATTCTTCATTTGAAGTTCTTTTGCAACTGGATATCCTCCCATTTTGTATTTATTTTGTTTTATTGCAGCTCCAGTCGAGAGTGAACGAATTCCTGAACATCGGTAAGTAACATAATACACAGTTACCTTTTTTTTCTTTCTCTCTCTCTCTCCCTCTCCCTCATTCTAATTCTATATCCCCCTATCTCTCTCATCCTGACCCTCTCTCTCGCTCTCCCTTTCTCTCTCCATTTTTTAAAATTTATATTGCTGTCTTCAACATTTCTTGTACTTGTATAATCATCTGTTTAAAGCCAGAACGGCATTAATTGATTTTATTTTGAAACACGTTTACGCCTTATTCAAACCCCCCTATTGTCTCACCGTGATGCTTTATTATTTCTTTCTAATGACATTCGATGACATTATGCCATGATTGAAAGGAATCTGATTTGCTTTAACAAATACAAAAAATGGTTTATTTCATTAAAAAACATTAGCGGCCCTAGAGCAGAATTGCAGTTAAAAAAAATTTATACATCAGTGACAAAATTAAATTACACGTAATACATATGCATGGTAACATTATGGTAGTAAAATTGCAATTCTTGTTGTACATGTAATATATAATTGTGCTTCTACGACACCTGCTCCGGCTACACTTACTCTGCGGCAATTCAGTACATTATTAATCAAACTCCCAATCCCAAGCCCGGTTAAGAAACCTATACCTTACCCAACCTATCACCAAGCACAAACCCAGCTCAAAAAACCCAACAACAAATTCAACCCCAACCCCACATTCCTGATGAACTAAAGCCTGGAGCAAGCGCCGCCAGAGCAAGTATTGGGTCGCCATCGTTGCACATTATGGCAGATTGCTTGGTACATATACAGAAATCTGAATATTTTTCATATTTGCCATAAAATTATATATAGACATTTAGATTGGATTGAATATTTGAAAACCATTTTCACATCCCAGTTTTCCCCCTCTCAACCTGGCTTTTAAGCCTCTCTCATCCTACCCTCTCCGATCCCGCACCCCTATTCCGTCTAAAAAAAAATCCAATTCTCAAACACTATTATGTTGATTACTTCTCTCTCTTTCTCTCTCCCTCACCCTCTTGTTTCTAAACTTGTTCAATCTCCATCTTTCCCCTCTGTTTTTCTTTATCTCACAATCTCTCCATGCCCCCTCCTCCTTCTCTTTCTATCTCTCTCTCTCTCTTTGTATCGTTATCTCTCTCTCTGTCTCTGTCTCTCTGTCTCTCTCTCTCTCTCTCTTTGTATCCTTATCTTTCTGTCTGTCTCTCACCCTATCCCTCTTTCTCTCTGTCTCTTTTTGTTTTATGTTTATCTTTGTTTCTCCGTGTCCCCCCTCTCTCTCTCTCTCTCTCTCTCTCTTTCCTTCTCTCTCCCTTTCTTATTCTCTCTGTCTCCCTATTCCATAGCAAACGCATTCACAGCCACACCGCTAAAGGTGAGGGTGATGGAGTTGATGAGAGCCTGGAACAGCGTCCTGGTAAACGACGAGCTAAGACGGATCTTAAACCTACCTCACCATAGAGCAGGATGTGACGGTAGGGTTCCATGACACATGCTCCGCCGACGATTGCTCCGCCGACATTTACTCCGCAAAACGCGACAATTGCTCCGCGACATTTGCTCCGCGACATTTGCTCCAACGTCAAATACTCCGCCGACAGGTGCTCCGCCGACAGTTGCTCCGCCGACAGTTGCTCCGCCGACAATTGCTCCGCCGACAGATGCTCCGCCGACAATTGCTCCTCCGACAATTGCTCCGACGACATTTGCTCCGCCGTCAATTGCTCCGCAAAACGCGACAATTGCTCCGCCGACATTTGCTCCGCCGACATTTGCTCCGCCTGAAGCGACACTTGCTCCGCCGACATTTGCTCCGCCGACATTTGCTCCGCCGACATTTGCTCCGCCGTCAATTGCTCCGCCGACAATTTCTCCGCCTGAAGCGACAATTGCTCCGGTGACATATGCTCCGCCGACAATTGCTCCGACGACATTTGCTCCGCATGAAGCGACACTTGCTCCGGTGACATTTGCTCCGACGACATTTGCTCCGCCCAAAAAGTGTCCCATTAAATACAAATGCTACTAGTACTACGACAAATGCTTCGCCGACAATATTTTTTTTTCACGGGTTGTTTTTGTTTCTTTCTTTTTTTCTTCATTTTTTGAATGCATTTCATGACATTATGTAAATGAAATGAAATGAATGAATGTTGATAATGTGGGAGGAAAAAGCAGTTGCCTAAAAGTCATTTCGAATATACTGAAATAACTTTCCATCTATCACTGTACGTCCCACATAATGTACACTAAACACTCATTACATGTCATGGGAAGTTTTTTTTTTTAAAGTAGAGCAGCAAGCCACATTCCCCAATACGCGCATACCTCCTAGTTAATTTCAAACAGCTCATCAATATGTAAGACCTGAAATTACCTCAATGAAAGAAGACTAATAACATGAGAGGAAAGAAAAGAGCAAAAAAGACAACCGTTTTTTGCTATTCCCCATAATGTTTGATTTAAAAAAATAAAAAATAAAATTATAGCTCCTTACGCAAGTTCTCCGGCGAAAGATAATTACTCCGCTCAAAATCTGTTTCATGTATTACTCATTAGCTGATCCAAAGCTCAAGGCTATCTCTCTCTCTCTCTCTCTCTCTTTCTCTCTCTCCCATGCTCCTCCTTTTCCTTTTTACACCGTTTTCTTGTCTTCTTTGCTCTTTTCTTTCCTCTCATGCTATTAGTCTTCTTTCATTTCCATCCCTTCTTCTCTGCTCCCCCTCTCGAGTTCTATTTCTCTCGTGAAATTGAAACGTAAAGTAATACAATCATGTAGTACATTCTTGTTTAGAATAATATTTTCAATAATATCCAGTCCATTTTCTAAAGGTTTCTTTCCTTTAGTTAAGTGTATGTAGCTTTAATATATATATGTTAGTGTGCAAAACACTCCGTTTCATTCGAGTACTTTGTTTTCACTAAATAATTTAAGGGACTCACGAAGCCACCGGAAGAAGAGCAATTGGCTTATCATGAAGAACTAACATCAAACTGCAACAAAATGATTTGTATAGATGTGAATAAGCAGAAAGGCTGCCATCTCATTTTCCCGTCTGAATGGGTTCTCTTCCTTACGTATATAAGTGCCCTTATTTTCTAAACTTTTTTTTATATTTGTGTGTTTATTAAATTTTCAATCATATAAAAATTACATATTTACAAGTCATTGGTAATAATTAGCCAAACAAAAAAACCAATATGTATAAGAACAACTAACAATAATGAAAGGACAAGAAAGTTA